CATAAAACAACCATATTGGTTTTATATTTTTTCATTTTTAAAACCTAAATGTAAAAATGTAAAATCGAGCTAATTAAAAATCTAGAGAAGTCGCCATCGAAGAAGTTTTCTTAGTGGCTGGAAGGCTGCTAAAAGCGGAAACCATTCCTGAAGATCTTGACTTTGGCTGCACTCAAACCATAATCTGCATAACTTGGAAGCAGTTTTGATCATGGTAAAATAGATCTCAAAATGCGTTGACTAAATAAGATCATTTATAAGTTCAAATGTAAATGTGCCAAGAGTTCAGGCCATGACTATTTCTGGTTCCACCAGGAAGTGCACCAACAAAATATAAAGGTTGTCTTTGCTTTAACCATTATATTTAAAAAGTAACCTCTTTCAATTTCGCTATTTTTTTCTATTTTAATTTTAAAATTAAAATACACTTGACTATTTATTTTTTTCTCATTTTTTTAAACAGAAAAAACAAAGAGCGAACCATACACTGATTATTCTGTAATTATTGTCAAGAGAGTAGTTGTTTTTCAAGTGTATAAGTTCTGATATAGTCATTGTTCACTCAATTTTTATTCTATTATCATAAACTTTATTTCTTTTTAATATTAAACCATGATTGGAGTTCATTTTATTGGTTATTTGTAAAAAAAAATTTGTGACAAAATCAAATGATTATTTTCTGCATCTGAGCTACTGCACTTCCAGTTTCCTCATCTAAGCTCACATCATCTATGATTTAAAAGGGTTACAATATGCTAATGATGACCTAATGTTATTGACCCATTTCTATTTAAGAAGTGAAAGGGTAGCAAGAACCGGTTACCATGAGGAATAATATAAAGCAGGACAAGCCGGTCAGATCAAAGAGACAAAAAAGGGAAGAGGAYAAATGAGTGATGAAATGAGAAACGGATGGGCGGATGTGGTGAAAATTTATCACGGTTATCTGCAAGCACTTTGTCTCTTTTTATGTAGTGGCAACAACAGCCGTGAACTGTCTTTGTGCACGGTGTGATTTATAGTCCGGGGTCACTCTCTGCTTTAGAACTGGGTCAATGGAGTTGAAAATTAACACAAAAACAYAGTGAGACACATAGTACTGCAGGCTGGATGTATAAAAGTGGGGTGTTTTTGGCATGATGAAGTGATAAGATTACAACAGGAGAGGTTGTCCCTTTATTTGCTCCTCTGAACAGGTAGGGCATGTAATTACAGAAGTGAGAAAAACTAGAAGATAAGAACTATATGCACAGTTAGAAATGTTCAGATACTCAGTAGTCTACAAGAAAAGAAAGGTATCTACATTCTGTATACATATGTATACATACATACATACATACATACATACATACATACATACA